GGGCTGCCTCTGCCTCCTGCCCAGGATGGGGGCTCGTCAGTGGGAATCTGTGGCTGCCGAGCCCCCAGATCTTTGCCTCCCCCCCACAGGGTGCTGCGACATCGCAGCTCTGCTGAGCGCCCCGAACCGCCGCGCATCCCAAAGCACCCTCACAGCCCCAGCCCCTCTCACCTCTCGCACACCCGGACCGTCCACGCAGCGATGATCCAGAGGGAAATGCTGAAGACCAGCAGCACTGTCCCGGGGCAGATGGTCATGAGAGTCTTCATGACAAAGCGGGTGTTGAAGTTGATCTTGTTGAGTGCCCCAATGCTGCGCGAGGAGGCATCGGTGAAGAGCTTGCTGTGCAGCAGCATCACCCGAGCGATCAGGTAGAGGCGCAGGAACATGGGGATGGACAGGATGATGTCTACGTCCGCCTCTGCCCGAGAAGGCGTGTAGGAGAAAGCCAGGCGGGCTGTCCAGAAAAATTTGTACTCCCCAGGGATGGGGTGTATGGCACAAACCAGCATCTCCAGGCTGATGTAGAGGATGCGCTCGTACGTCATCGCTATCCGCCAGTCGTCAGCTCCGTTGTCAATCACAAAGAGCTACCAGGATGCAAAACCACACGGTCACCAGTGGCCCCGGCCAACCCTGCCCCACCAGCATCCTGCCGTGGGCAGCGGGTGGGACTGACACCAGAGCCCCGCGGAGCCGGGGATGGCTTCGACCAGGAGGGCCGGGGATGGACGAGGAAGGAAAAGGTGGGAATGAGCCTTCACCATCCCCTCCGCTGCTCTGCCTGTGTGTTCAGGGGACAGTTATGGCGCTGGGGACACCCCAGAAAGCTTTAGGGTGCCCGGCCCTCGAGCACACGCCCAGGCACAGCATGGGGAAAGCTCACTCCAACCCGCTCCCGCACACCTGCTGGCAGGAGCCCACCTCCCGGCACAGCCTCCTCACCCGGGGCACAAAGACGGCACCGGGCGAGCCGGGGTGCCGCAGAGCGCTGGCACAAGCCACCCCCGCCCCTCCGCTTCTGCCGGCGCTGCACCAGTGTCACCAACAGCCACCATGCCCCGAGTGCCAGGGCGACTTTTGGGGAGGGAATGACACAGCCAGAGCACTTGGCCGCTGGCAGCGATGGGATCCGGTTGTCATAGCAACCGCCGGTTCATCCTGGGTACCAGCTCCTCTCCCACCACCGGCGACAGAGTCGGGGTCTCTGTGGGAGCTGGGGGAACAGCAGTTCGGGCTGGCCCCTCCGGGATGCTGCCAGAGCCCTGGGGGGCACACACCCCACCCTGCCTTGGCAGGTCCGTCCAGAGGCTGGCATCGGCCTGTCCCAGG